GGAGGCGCCGTGGGGCAGCTGCGACGCCGCTGGGGACCGGTGGTATGGGGTCCCTGAGGGGTCCGGGGGTATGGGGTCCCTGAGGGGTCCGGGAGTTGCCGGAAGCGGTGGAAGGGCTTTGGAGGGTCTGAGACGTGTCTGGGGCGTCCTATGGGGCAACTCTGGGGTCGGGGGAGGCTATGAGGAGTGGAGGGGGGCTGTGTGGGGCTGTAGGTGGTATATGGGGGGCTTAAAGAGGATCTGCGGGGGCGAGGGTACTATGGGAAGCCTATGGAGATTCTGTGCGAGGCCTGTGGAGGATCTGGAGCGTGCGTGTGGGTCCTCTTGGGGGGTATGGAGGTCTGTGGGAGTTGTGGGTAACTAGTGGGGTTTGGGGTCCATGGGGGTTCTGTGGGGTTGGGTGGTGTCTGTGTGGGCTTGGGAAGGGTGATGCGGCCTATGGAGGAGTTGTGGGGGATTTTGTGGTGTATCTGTGATGCTGGAGGTCCATATAACTTACCATGGTTTGTTTTAGGGGCTGGGGGTCCTTATAACCCTCCATGGATCCCCCTTTTTCCTTCCCCAGGCCCTTCTGAGCCCCCTCCCCACCATGTTTCTGCTGCCTTGCTCCGCCCTCGCCCTCCTCCTGCTTACCTTCCTGGCTCTGGAGCCACCCCCACGCCGCCCCTCACCCTCCAACCCTGCGTTCTGCCGCTTCCAGCGGGAATTCCTGCTGGGATACCTCCCGGCGCTGGCTGCGGACTGGCTGCAGGGCCCACTGCTGTTCCAGCTGCTGCATAGCCGAGGCTTCCTGCGCAGCCAGATCGCTGCCCTCTACTCCTGCGGCTTTGCCTCCAACGTCACCTTTGGCCTTATCTCTGGAGTTTTTGTGGATCGGCTTGGCCGGAAAAAGTCCTGTGTGTTGTCCTCGGGGCTGTGCTCCGTGTCCTGCCTGCTGCAGCTCTCCCGGGATTTCCTGGCACTGGCAGCTGGCCGGGTCCTGGCGGGGCTCGGCACCTCTCTGCTCTTCTCTGCCTTTGAGTCGTGGTACATCCATGAGCACCTGGAGCGCCATGACTTCCCAGCCGAGTGGATTCCCAGCACCTTCTCCCGTGTGGCACTCTGGAACAGTGGCCTGGCCATGGCAGCTGGCCTGGTAGCTGAGCTGGTGGCTGAGGGGCTGGCGCTGGGCCCTGTGGCCCCATTCCTGGTGGCCGTGCCCTTCCTGGCACTCTCAGGGATCTTTGCTGGGAAAAACTGGGATGAAAACTATGGGAAGAGCCGGCCCTGCAGTAAGGCCTGTGGAGAAGGCCTTCGGGGCCTCCTATCTGATCCGCGAGCGCTGCTCCTGGGGCTGGTCCAGGCCCTTGTGGAGAGCATCCTCCTCATCTTTGCCTTCCTTTGGACACCTGTCCTGGAGCCTCATGGGATCCCACTGGGAATTGCCTTCTCGGGATTCATGGCTGCCAGTGCTGTGGGCTCAGCCCTGTTCCGGCGTGGAGTCACTGGGAGGCTCCGGCTGCAGCCGCTGCAGCTCCTGCCCAGCTCTGTCCTACTCCTGGCACTGGCTCTTCTGGTCCTGGCACTGCCACTGTACCCACCCTGTGACTTCCTTGCCGTGCTTGTGCTGCAGCTCTCCTGTGGGATTTACTTCCCAGCCATGGCATTCCTGCGGCGCCGGATGGAGCGGGGAGGGGATGCGGCAGGAGGAGCGCGGTGGCTGCGGCTGCCCCTTGGCCTGGGGGTGTCACTGGTGCTGCCAGCACTGCCTGGTGACCCCATGGGGACACGGGGGGTGTTTGGGGCTGCAGCCCTGGCGGCGCTGGTGGCACTGGGCGCAGCTGGGGGGGTCCTGGGCACCACCCGTGGGGATGAGGGGCTGAAGGTAGGGGGCGAGGGGCTGCTCGAGGGGGACACTGGGGAGTGACGAGGACATTGGGACAGGGACACTGGGACAGCTCAGCTGGGATGTGATGTGATGGGGACACTGGGACAGTTTGAGGATGTGTCAGGAACACTGGGGGTGATGGGGACATGGACACTGAGACAGCTCAGTGAGGACACCGGGGTGTGACTGGGACAGCTTGACAGGAACATAGGGGTGTAATGGGGATGTTGGGGTGTAATAGGAACAGGGACACCAGAATGTGACTGGGATACCAGGACAGCTTAGTGAGGACACTGGGGTGTGATAGGAATGGGGATGCTGGGGTGGCACAGGGACACCAAGACAGCTCGGTGAGGACACCAAGGTGCAACAGGGAGACCGACAGAATGCGACAAGGACAGAGACACTGGGATGTGACAGTGGCAGAAGCACGAAGACAGCTGTACAGCGACACAGGGACAGTTTGATGGAACATTGGGATTTGACAGGGACAAGGACAGTAATACCTGGCTGGGACAGGAATATTGGGATAGCTCAACAGGAACACCAGGGTGTGACAGGGTCAGGGACATGGGAAGAGCCCATGGGGTCACCAGGCAGTGATGGGGTCACAGTGTCACCCCCCATGCTGAACTGTGAGTGACAGAAACAGACAGCCAGTAGGGACACTGAGCTGTGGTGGGTCACAGTGTCACCCCACAGTGGACTGTGGGTGACTGGGATGCCTCCTTAGGCCACTGAACTGTGATGGGTCATGGTGTCATTCCACAATGGACTTTGGGTGACAAGACACTGGGGCACCCCACTGGTGACATTCAGCTGTGAGAGGTCACAGTGTCACCCGCATAATGAAGTGTAGGTGACAGTGACACTGGGACACCCCAATGGTGACCTGTTGTCACCCCCACAATGAACTCTGGGTGAGAACATGGGGACACCGCAAGGTGACACTGAGCTGTGACAGATCATGGTGTTACTCCTATAACAAGGTGACACCCCCAGGTGACACCCAGGCTGTAAAAGGTCACAGTGCCACCTCCCCCAAAGTACAGCAGGGGGGACATGGAGACACCAGGCCAGGTGTGGTCTGTGACTGACCTCGTGTGGTGTCATGGGGGGAGGCGTGTGTGTATTAATTACTTAATTCATTTCTAATAAATCCACCCAATAGAGGTGTTTGTGAAGTTGTCCCCCAGCCCCCCCAACCCCCAAACCTGGGTCTGGGGGACACTGAAACCCTCTGAAACTAGGGGTGCCCCCAGTTCAAACCAGTGACTCCTAATCCGGCCATGTCCTCAGTGTGACCCTCGTGCTGGTTTGACCCTAAGCTAAGCCCCCTCAGTGCCTCCAGTATCCTCCAATTCTCCCCAGTCCTCCCAAAAGCCCCCCATCCCCCTATTTTCCAACTCTCCCCAGTTCCCCCAACTCCGCCTCCATTCCTCACACTTCC